CTGAGGGCAATGTGTGGTGTGAATATAATGCAGAGAATTTGTAGTTTGGAAGTTAGGAGGAGGTGCGGGATTACCAAAACTGTTGTCCAGAGGGCTGAGGAAGGGTTGTTGAGGTGGTTCGGACATGTAGAGAGAATGGAGCGAAACAGAATGACTTCAAGAGTGTATCAGTCTGTAGTGGAAGGAAGGCGGGGTAGGGTCGGCCTAGGAAAGGTTGGAGAGAGGGGTAAAGGAGGTTTTGTGTGCGAGGGGCTTGGACTTCCAGCAGGCATGCGTGAGCGTGTTTGATAGGAGTGAATGGAGACAAATGGTTTTTAATACTTGACGTGCTGTTGGAGTGTGAGCAAAGTAACATTTATGAAGGGGTTCAGGGAAACCGGCAGGCTGGACTTGAGTCCTGGAGATGGGAAGTACAGTGCCTGCACTCTGAAGGAGGGGTGTTAATGTTGCAGTTTAAAAACTGTAGTGTAAAGCACCCTTCTGGCAAGACAGTGATGGAGTGAATGATGGTGAAAGTTTTTCTTTTTCGGGCCACCCTGCCTTGGTGGGAATCGCCCAGTGTGATAATAATAATAAAATAAAATATTCCTTCGTCTGTCACCTGGCTCCGTTATGTTGACGACATTCTCCTCATAACTCCTAAACGCTTCAACGTTCAAGCTCTCCAAGACAAGCTCAACCAGGTCGAGCCTTCAATCCAGTTCACACTTGAAGAAGAAGTCGACAACACTCTTCCTTTCCTTGATGTTCTGCTCTGCAAAGCTGACCACGAACTTCGTTTTAAAGTCTATCGAAAACCCACCATCCAAAACGATCTTCTCCACTTCTACTCTCACCACGACACCAAAACCAAACGTGGTGTAATTATAGGCTTCTTCCTGCATGCACTCAGAATCTGCAGCAATGAGTTCCTTGAGGAAGAATGCACTGTAATTGAACAAGTATTTTCTAAACTCCACTATCCTCGTCACTTCATCAGAGACTGCAGACGGTGGGCATTAAACATCTTCAACACACCCAGAGAAGACACTGCCAAGAAGAGATACATAGTCCTCCCCACGAACTCCATTGCCAAACATGTTTCCAACATCTTTTCCAATACATCATTTCAAGTATCTACCTCCACAACCACGACCATCAAGGACATCACCAGTAGTAGACAGGACAAGCCTCCATCCTCTGCAGGGGTATACATAATCCCTTGTAATGACTGCAACAAATTATATGTGGGCGAAACATCAAGAGACCTCCAAACACGTATTTCAGAACACCAATATGCAAGCAGGGCTGACGATACAAGGAATGCCTGTGTACAACATCGCAGTTCACACAACCATTTAATTAACTACAGAAACTCAAGACTTATCGCCACAGAAGACAACACTCAATACCGAAGAATTCTGGAATCATCGCTTATCTCTATAACCAACAATTTCAACCAGAACAACGGCTTCTATAACATAGCTGAACCACTTGCCAAGAAACTTCTTCATCGCTATCCCATATAAGAACATAGAACACTGCAGAAGGTCTACTCACAACTTGTCCAATACCCCTGCCAAGCTACCCAAGACTCTATAACACCACCCGGTAGATCATCAGATGCAGCATTCTCCACCTGACCTCAACATTCTGAACATGACTATAAATACTCCCGTACCTTCCACCCCAGGTAGATCTGTGTGTGACTTGAAAAAGCCCACTGTGTGGGTGAAACGTTGTCAATAAAGGATCACATTATACTGCATATGTGTTTATATTTCCTGTCAGTGAGCCATGACTCTGTCCACGAGAGCACTTTTCCCCCAATGCCATGAGCTGCCACTTTCTTTAACAGTCTATGGTGTGGAACTCTATCAAAAGCCTTACTAAAATCTAAGTAAATAATATCAAATTCTTTATCGTGGTCAACAGTCTCAAAAGCTTACTGAAGAAAGTTAATAAATTAGTTAGACAAGACCGGCGTCTTGTGAATCCATGCTGAGTATCATTAATCAAGCTATGCTTATCGAGATGGCTTCTTATAATGTCAGCTATAATTGACTCTAGTAATTTGCCTACAATTGAGGTCAGGCTTATTGGGCGGTAATTTGACGGTAACGACTTGTCCCCTGTTTTAAAAATAGGAATTACATTAGCCATCTTCCACATATCAGACACTACACCTGTTTGAAGAGATAAATTAAAAATATTAGTTAATGGTTCACAGAGTTCCATTTTGCATTCCTTAAGAACCCTTGAAAAAACCTCATCAGGACCCGGCAACTTATTTTGCTTCAGTCTGTCTATCTGCTTCACAACCATTTCACTAGTGATTGTGATGTTACATAATTTATCTTCTTCTAGCCCACTATAAAAATTAATTACTGGAATAATAAAAATTAATTACTGGAATTAAAAATTAATTACTGGAATATAAAAATTAATTACTGGAATATTAAAAATTAATTACTGGAATCATAAAAATTAATTACTGGAATTATAAAAATTAATTACTCTTAGAACATAAGAAAGGAGGAACACTGCAGCAGGCCTGTTGGCCCATACTAGGCAGGTCCTTTACAATTCATCCCACTAACAAACATTTGACCAACCCAATTTTCAATGCTACCCATGAAATAAGCTCTGATGTGCAAGTCCCACTCAAATCCAACCCCTCCCACTCATGTACTTATCCAACCTAAATTTGAAACTACCCAAAGTCCTAGCCTCAATAACCCAACTAGGTAGACTGTTCCACTCATCAACTACCCTATTTCCAAACCAATACTTTCCTATGTCCTTTCTAAATCTAAACTTATCTAATTTAAATCCATTACTGCGGGTTCTCTCTTGGAGAGATATCCTCAAGACCTTGTTAATATCCCCTTTATTAATACCTATCTTCCACTTATACACTTCAATCAGGTCTCCCCTCATTCTTCGTCTAACAAGCGAATGTAACTCAAGAGTCTTCAATCTTTCCTCATAAGGAAGATTTCTAATGCTATGTATTAATTTAGTCATCCTACGCTGAATGTTTTCTAACGAATTTATGTTCATCCTGTAATATGGAGACCAGAATTGAGCTGCATAATCTAGGTGAGGCCTTACTAATGATGTATAAAGCTGCAGTATAACCTCTGGACTTCTGTTGCTTACACTTCTTGATATAAATCCCAGTAATCTATTTGCCTTATTACGTACGCTTAGGCATTGCTGTCTTGGTTTAAGGTTGCTGCTCACCATAACCCCCAAGTCCTTTTCGCAATCTGTATGGCTAAGTTCTACATTATTTAACTTATAAGTGCTAGGGTTATGGACACTCCCGAGCTTCAGAACCTTGCATTTATCTACATTGAACTGCATCTGCCACTTTTCTGACCAAGAGTAGAGTTTGTCTAAATCCTCCTGAAGTTCCCTAACATCTACGTTTGAATCAATTATCCTACCTATCTTTGTGTCATCGGCGAATTTGCTCATATCACTAGTAACACCCTCATCAAGATCATTGATATATATTATAAACAACAACGGGCCCAAGACTGATCCCTGTGGAACGCCACTTGTTACAGATCCCCACTCGGATTTAACCCCATTTATGGACACACTCTGCTTCCTGTCTGTGAGCCATGACTCGACCCACGAGAGCCATTTTCCCCCAATGCCATGAGCTGCCACTTTCTTTAACAGTCTTTGGTGCGGAACTCTATCAAAAGCCTTACTAAAATCTAAGTAAATAATATCAAATTCTTTATCGTGGTCAACAGCCTCAAAAGCTTTACTGAAGAAAGTTAATAAATTAGTTAGACAAGACCGGCCTCTTGTGAATCCATGCTGAATATCATTAATCAAGCTATGCTTATCAAGATGGCCTCTTATAATCTCAGCTATAATTGACTCTAGTAATTTGCCTACAATTGAGATTTTTAACACTTCTGTATGGTAACGAGGACCAAATTCTTGGAGCAGTTGGCATGTTCTCATGTCCTATGACCAAAGTTGTTGAACCCATTCCAGTCATCCTGGAATGGATGGATAACCCAAAACCCTCAGTGGTGGGGCTTGAAACCCTTAAAAAGGTATCAGAAAAATCTGTGACGGCGCAGAGTGAAATTCGGACATATAGGAGCAGCAGATATGAACGTTTTATATGTAAAATATTGTGAAATTTTTCTTCCTGTTAAATCACATTAACTAATTTTCAGTTGACTTCTGAACGGCAGCAATATTTAATATCTGACTCATTTTAGTGCCAGGATAGTACCGGTTAAATTTCGCATGTCTCCAGTCAAGTTTGTTGAGGTAGTAAAATAGAAAAAAAAAATGGAATAATTAGAATCTGTGCCATAACTATAGAATGATTCATCTGATCGGCTTCAAATTTTCACCTCTGGTGTGTGTTTCCTGAACACGGGGTTCACGCTGCCGTTGGATGGCATAATCCCGAATTTTGCAAATTTTATTATTGTAGCCAGGCTGTTGAGATGATGATTATGCTGATGATGGTGATGAAACCGGTTGCTCGGTGGTGTATTATTATCAAGATCAGTGTCCCATGGCCTGGTAGGCAATGCTCTTAACTCACACACTGAGTGTCCGTGATTCGTTTCCCAGCAGGTTGGAAACATTGGGCGTGTTTCCTTAAGACACAGGTCTGCTGTCCCCGTTCACCTGACAGTAAGTAGGTATCTGGGTGTTAGCCGACTGGTGTGGGTCGCATCCTGGGAACAAGATTGAAGGACCACAATGGGAATAAGACAGACAGTCCTCGATGACGCACTGATGTCTTGGGTTATCCTGGGTGACTAACCCTCCGGATTAAAAATCCGAACAAAATCTTATCTTAATTATATTCATTGCGTTAACCCCATAGGGAGTCATTCAGTGCCTGGAAAACGGGGTTAATCAAGTGAAAGGGAGGACAGCTTCTGTTCGTTGGATCAAGCAGCTCTTCATTAGCATCAAGATCGGTGGTGTAAAATTAACACATCACTGAGAGTATTATTATATTGTTTCAGATTGATGAGCCGGGCGGGCAGGTAGCCATGGAGGTGGTTACTGAAAAATGGGCGCCTTCACCCACCCTTACACTACCTCCATTATCACCACAACCACCACCACAACCCAGTGCCAGCAGACACTGCTGCTATTGTAGTACCTCTACCAGACGCCTGCTGCACTGGGTTCTCCTGCTTCTTTGGTTCTCGTTTCTCCACCAGGCGGAGTCCCACAAATGCATCAGACTGCAAGAAAGAAACCTTACCTGTAAGTCTTTCCTTTTAACCTGTCGCTCCTCTTCAGATCCTCTTATATTACCAACTCCAGCTTTGTTAGTTAAATAGACACAGTTTATTGTGGCAACATTTCATTCTCCAGGACCTATCTCAAGATTCATCTGTGTCCATTTACCTAACATTTTGTTGGTAATTCTTCCATTATTACCAACTCCAGTTTTCATTTATTGAAGTTTTAACTTGGTTCATTTGATCATATTGATATTTTTAGTCCTATTTTCTTTGAGGCTTCGTGGTAAGACTGAGTAAAATAAGTCCGTGTGTCTTGTAGTCTTTATTACATCCGTGTGTTTGTATTAATACTGTGCATTGCAGTATGTGGAAAAACATGCTTATGTACAGTTCAGGACATTAATTTCAGGAAACGTTTCGCCACAAGTGACTTTTTTCCACTTGTCATTATAACCATTTTTCTGTATTACAGTACCACCGCCCAGGTATGTTTATGACAAGCGGCAGCAGCGGCAGCTAGCGCTCACTCTGGACACCTCACAGAGACTCTCTCATCAACTCACCACGGCTGTTGTTAAGATACTACTGGAGGTAAGCCTAGTATGAATGTGGTTTTGCTCTCACAGATCTTAAGCAAAAGGACACAAGTGCAACTAATGCGACATTTTATTGTGGCAATGTTCCGCTCTCCAGGAGCTTTCTCAAACTCTTGGAGAGCAAAACGTTATCACAATGTCACATTAGTCGCACATGTTCTTTTACCTAACGTAATGTCGGTAATTCTACCAACATTATTAGACACTAATCTTGTTTACACACTAGATCTCTTCCTTATTTTAAATATGTTTGTACTACGATAAACGAACTACTACTGAACTATTCAGTTGCTTTAGAAACTTCTGCCGTATTTCTCACTATTTATTTTGCATGCTTTGAGGTAGAGGAGGCTGAGCTTTGGGGATACAAGGGATATCTTCCTCGATCATTGAGAAGAGGGAACTTGGCTTATGGGATATCTTACTTGGATCATTGAAGTAGAGGGCGTTCTGGGGGGTCAACGCCCTCGCGACCCGGTCCCAGATCAGGCCTACCAGTTGATGGCCTGATTGGCCAGGCTAATGGTGCTAGCCGCACGACGTTCAACATAAGCACCACAGACCGGGTGATCAGGCACAAATTTGAGAAACTTGTCCATTTCTTTCTGGAAGATAGCCAGGGGTCTGTTGATAATCCCCCTGTATGTTCCTTGGTGTACTCACTAAACCTCTGCTTTACATAGGGGGGGGGGGTATTTTGCAATGTCTGTCAAGCCTCTTGTTCTCATTGTGAATGATTTGTACATGCAGATTTGGGACCAGTCCTTTTATGTCTCTCACCTACCTCCCAGGGAATACAGATTAAGGGCCTTCAAACGTTCACAGTAATTTAGGTGCTTAATTGAATCTATGCGAGCAGTGAAGGTACTCTGCACATTCTCCAGGTATGCAGTTTCGCCTGGAACGGAATTGTTAAGAGTACAGCAGTACTCCAACCTATAGAGCACAAGAGACTTAGAGTATCATTATTGTCTTGGCATCCCTTGTTTTGATGGTTCTAGTTATCCAGCCTATCATTTTTCTTGTGGTTGTGATATTGACACTTGTGACTCTTGAAGGTGAAGCCTCCTCACATGATCATTTCAAGGTCTCTCACACTAGTCCTATGCTCTGCTGAATTATTCTAGTTTATTTTATGCTCCGTTCCTGTATTTATTTCCTTAAGATTTGCATAACGGAGTATCTGAAACTTGTTCTCATTAAACATCATAGTATTAACAGTGGCCCACTGAAAGAATTTGTTCTTATCAACTTAAAGGTTTGCTGTGTCCTCAATGGATGACACTGTCATACAGATTCTAGTATCGTCTGCAAAGGATGATATGGTGGTATGATTTATGTCTCTGTCTGTGTCGGATATGAGAATGAGGAAGAGAACATAGGCCAGTACTGTGCCTTGGATAATTATAATAAAAACAGAAGCGCTAAACTGCAAGGGTTATACAGCGCAGCAGGGCAGGGAAGGATGCAGGGGAAATGGGTGGCAAGAGGAAGAGGGATGATTATTAGCGTATGGAGTGCAGCAGGGCAGTGGATAGTGTAGGGGTAGAGGGTAGCTTGAGATTAAGGTAGAAAGGAGGGAGGAGAGTGCTAGAGGCATCATCATCAGAGTTTGGGTAGTAAATCAGTTGTTGTCAAAAAGTCAGTGAGAGGGTCTGGATTAAAGGAGGGTCCATCAGCAAGAAGGGAAGGTAAAGAAAGTGCAGCAGAGTGGAGACGATGTTGGAAGTAAATTCTGAGTGCTCGTTGATAGAGTGCAACAGTCCAACAGAATGTGGCTAGCAGATACTGGAACTTGACAATTCTCACAGAGAGGAACAGGGTGCCTCTCTATGAGATACCTGTGAGTAAGACTAGTGTGCCCAGTGCCAAGACAGGAGAGAGTAGTCTCCCAACCTCGACACTGATGACAAGAAGATGGCCAGAAACCTATACTCGGTTTAATAGAATGAAGTTTGTTATGGAGCAGATCAGACCAACGTTGTTGCCAATGGGTGCAAAGGTGGGTAGCAATTTCCACAAAATAGTCTGTGAATGGAACACCTCTATATGAAACTGGGAGGTCATGTGCTGCTGACCATGCAGCAGTGTCTGCCTGTTCATTGCCCTGTACGTCAACATGACCAGGGACCCAGTAAAAAAAATATCTTTGCGTTTGCTAGAGATATGGCATAACCAAAGTTGGATACGAAGAACTAGGGGGTGAGGCGTATCAAATTTTCCTGTAGCCTGTAAATCACTATGGGAGTCTGAAATGACCACAAATGGTGACACAGGCATAGATCCTTTATGGATAAGTGCTACAAGAATGGCATACAATTCAGCCGTAAAAATGCTAGTAGAGGATACTAATGTCCTCGCATGGCACTCTCCGGAAACACTGCTGCGAATCCGATGCCGTCAGAAGACTTAGAACCATCAGCGTACACTGCGATGGCATGAGAATGAGAGTGGAAATGGTCAAGAAAAAAAGAGCGGGAAGCCACCATACGTAGTTGGGTTTTCACACATGGCAGTGGGAAAGTACAGACATGAACAGCTGGAGCTTCCCAAGGGGGCAGGGAAAAGTAGATGCTACATGAACATAGAAAGGTGGTAACTGAAGAGAAGACAAGAGCGAGTGAAGGTGGAGAGAAAAGGAGTGGAGTAAGCAGGGGCGACGAAAAAATAAAGAACATCCGCTAACATCAGTGACCATCCTATATACGGAAGGATTGTGGAGGTCATGAGATCGAACATATAAGAGAAGGCAATGAGCATCACGGTGATCGGACAAGGATGGAATATTCACTTCTGCATAGAGGCTCTCAACAGGGGATGAATGAAAGGCACCAAGGCACAGACCAAGACCTTGATGATGAATGGGATCTAACAGTTGCAGGAGAGGCCGCAGAATAGATTTGGTCACCATAATCCAGCTTGGACAAGACTAGGGTGGAATGCAAACGGAGGAGAGTGCGACGATCTGCTCCCCATGAACGATGCGCAAGAACTTTAAGGACATTTAGCCAACCATGGCAAGTTGTCTTTAAAGAAGAATTGTGAGGTCTCCACGTCAGCCGGTGATCAAAGAGCAGACCCAGAAACTCGACTGTATCACCTGCCGGAATACGTGAACCATGCAAGTACAAGGGAGTATGTAGAATAAGAGTTCGTCTAGTGAAGGTAATGAACTGGGTTTTCGTACTAGAAAATTTAAAGCCATGAGAAGTGGTCCAATGGGAGACTGTCTATCACAACCTATAGGGAGGCTGCTACTAGTCGACAGTCAGCGCCCGAGTAAGCTATAGAGAAGTCGTCAACATAAAGTGATGACTAAATATGCGAAGGAAGAATGGAAGGTGGGTCATTTTTAGCTAAGAGAAAAAGGGTAGTGCTGAGGACACAACCTTGTGGAACTTCCTCGGCTTGTAGAAAGTCCAAAGAAAGCAGGCACCAATACGGACCCGAAAATGTCTATTGGACAAGAAAGCAGTGATGAAGTTTGGTAGATTACTGCAGAGGCCTAAGGAGTGGGCTTGGGCTAAGATATTATACTTTCAAGTGGTGTCATATGCCTTCTCTAGATCAAAAAGAGACTGCTAGGACAGAGTGGTTGTTAGCAAAGGCATTTTGAATATATGTATCTAAGTAGAGCAAGGGGTCTACAGTAGAGTGGCCTTTGCAAAAGCCATATTGGCAAGGGGAAAGGGTATTGTGTGTCTCTAAGAACCACATCAGACGTCTATACACCAATCGTTCCATCACCTTGCAGACCACACTGGTCAGGGCGATGGGACGATAATGAAAGGTTTCAAGTCCATAGGATCCCGGCTTGTGAAACGGTAGTACAGTAGCCGATTTCCAGTGTCGAGGAAGAACCCCTCGTTTCCAAATTAGATTGAAAAGACGTAAAAGAATGGGAAGGGCCGTAGAATGGAGATGTTGAAACATACTGATGTGGATATCATCAGGTCCCGGTGCTGAAGGCAGGCAAATGGAAAGCATGGACACCAGTTCCTGAAGAGTACAAGGTACATTATATGGCTCCAACCCATCGGAAGAGAAATCCGAGGGCAGTTGCTCTTTGGTAGGTTTAGATGCAAAAAATGAGGGACAGATGTGAAGCCCTTGGGAGATATGGACAAGATAGTTCCTGATTGCTGTGGCAACTTCTAAGGGTTCTACGACATCAACTCCAGCAACCCACAAAATGGGAGCTGGGTCCAGAGTGTACTTCACAATTTTTGCACCTTTTTCCAAATCGCACACATAGGGGAAGACAAGTTAATGTTAGACACAGTCTTGCCCACAAGTGCGTTTAGCATTGTGGATGATGTGGCGAACAACTGCCCTTGCCCACTTGAAATCCAACAGATGCTCTGTGGTACGATTATATCGATAACAGCCCCACGTAGCACGTTTTAAATTCACTGCATGGGTGCATGTAGGAGACCACCAAGGTACGCATGCCTGAGAATACCTACCTGAGGTGTGGGGGATAGAACGCATCACTGCAGTTAGGACTAAGGTCGAAAAGTAGTGTGCCAGTTCATCAGTAGAGGATGAAAGGGGGTCCTCACAACAGGTGATAAGATGGGAGTATGAGTCCCAATCTCCTCGAACAAGTTGCCAATGAGGACTACGAAATGGTCAGGCATACGTAGAAGAAATAAGAAAGATGGGAAAGTGATCACTATCTTGTAAATCTGGGAGAAGAGACCACGTGAAATCAAGTGCAGTGGGCGAGGAACAGATAGAAAGATCAATGTAGGAGAGAGACTGAGTATGAGAGCCAAAATGGGTAGGAGCACCCGTGTTTAAAACATGAAGAGGATGAGAAGTGAGAAGAGTCTCCAACTGATCACCACGAGAGTCACAGTGGGACTCTCCCCACAGGTGATGGTGAGCATTAAAATCACCCAACAACAATATGGGTGGTGGTAGAGATGAAATTAAAAATGCAGTATCAGATACAGAATGCATGGGAGGGATACAGATGAAGAGAGCAAACTG